ATAACAAACTTCAATAAATATTGTCCATTTCAATTCCCTCTGTTTCCTTATTTATCCGAACTTATATATATATATATATATATGAGTTCAGGTAAAAAGGAAACAGAAACAGAGGAATTATATATATATATATATATATATATATATATATATATATATATATATATATATTCTCAAGTATAGGATTGGTGTATACGGAATAAATTCTAATAACCAAAAATACTATTCTTGAAAGAGTGCTCAATACAGAGTAGAGCAAATATAATTATTTATTCGAAAATTATAACATAAATATTATATTCATGTTATAAAATATATATATATACCCATGTATAGGATTGGTGTATACTATTCTTGAAAGATTGCTCAATACAAGTGTTGAAACAAAAAATGGCTATTTTTTGTATTGATTTTATAACGTACTTATTTTAAAATTTTCAAATAAATAATTATATATATATATATATATATATATATATATATATATATATATATATATATATATAATAATGAGAAGCCACGTATACTTTCTTAATATGTATATATAGAAAAAGTTTCTGATGAAAGATTGAGGACAATTTGAAATATCAAATATATATATAAATAAATAAATACTTTCATAAAATAAAACATTACTTTTTTTTATTTTGCAACTTTCTATATATATATATATATATATATATATATATATATATATCTGTACAATATTATTTGCGGTTCGTATAATATCAGGAATCGTAAAAATGATTATTTATCCCGTCCTGTAACAAACGTCCGGTGGCGACGGATTAAAACCTATCTGCAAACTCAAAACCAAAATATTCAACTGAGCAGGTGAGCATGATGAAGGAAATTCAAATGAAGTCTTGAATTATTTCGAAGTAAATTATATTAAAATTCCGTGACTATTGTTTTGTTTGGTTCCTTTCAATTCCATATGAGCTTTGCTTGTATCAAACACTCCTCTCTTTATTTGTCTATCATCTCTCTGTCCCACTCCTACACCCAAAACACACATACATATATTCATATATTCATAAAAGATCGATATCCATTACATGCTTTCTTGTGTTCGCTTCGGATGTAATCTTTGCGATTGTTAATATCAAAGACTTAAAAAATCTTCATCGATCAGGATAGGATTTTATTGATGCAACGTTTTCCAACAGACGGGATTATTTCGCCCTGTCCCATTTGTAGAAATGGAATCAACCGGATGACGTATGTATGACGTAATAGTTAGTTTAGATTTAGTACTCATATCCGCCCGGAATGATTTAACCCCATTCTGGGGAACAGAAAGGCAGCGTACTCTATTTTCAATCTGGTAACTGCTTTAAGATTTTTTCTTTAGAGAAATGTTTGATAAATATGCCAGGATTAGGCGAATTTGGCGGTAAAAGAAAACTAAATCTATCACAGGTGATGGAAGAACGTCTCCACCAGCAAGTGACAAGGATAATAAACACCCAGTGAATTATATCACAGTTCAAATCTTATGTCGCTCAGCCCATCAGTCAACACACGGTACGACGTATATTTGGTTTGTTTTTTTTGTTTAATGACATATCAACTCCTTATGGGTTATTTAATGTTGAAATTTAATTTTTTTCTTGAGCTTTGAGTTGAACTGATTATTTAATGACATATCAACTGTTTATGGGTTATTTAATGTTGAAATTTAATTTTCTTGGGAGCTTTGATTTGATTGTTTAACGGCATATCAACTGAAATTTATTGCTGGTAATTTTTTCTCCCTTTTCCAAAAATGTATTGGTGGTAAGTTTTTTTACTATTAAAATTTATTACTGGTATTCTTACTATAAATATATATTTTTATACTTTCATAATGTTTTGAACCCAGTTTGGGGGTTCACTAATTGTCCATAGCTAGGACCCTGACCCAGGATGAACCTGGAAGTAACAACAAATTAGAGGCAGAGATGGAGCTTCTCAAAACCTCACAATCAGAGGCCTTGCTGCCGGATGTAGTTTATCTTCGTACCCAGGACGGACAAAGATATATTCAATTCCACGAAGTTTCGTAGTCGTACACCACTACGGTATCACTTACTTTATCTTGGCAAGAGAACATTACTGTCGGACCGTGGGAGTCTGGCACCATATCGGCTAGTTAAATGAGTCAAATTTTCATTTCTTACATGCAGGTGGTTGAGTTTAAGAGACAGCGAGATGCTATACACCCGGTCTGTCATCAGAGTGTTGTGGTTCTTTATTAATGTATTTTGGGCTTCAATGGTGTTCTCAAGGATTACGAGTGAAACTGGAGTCAGTCTTGAAAGGCGTGATACTTAACGAGGTGTGACAATTACGAGTTATCATAAATTAATTTCCGGAATTAATTCAGCATGTCCCTGTGGTAATGAGTCAGGCAATCATTTGTATATGGACACGTTTCAACTCCAGCTTTCTTGAGATGTTTCAACTTCAGCTTTCTTGATACGCAGATCAGAAAAAATCATTTGTTGATGTGCAGTAGAGGAAAGTGTACGTGCTCATGTTGTATTGTTATAGGAAAAGAAGTAAAGTGAATCTGGATCATCAGATTAACATGACGTTTTGTGTAAAGATTGGTAAAAGTTCAAGTGAAGCGTCATCCCTATTTAAAATGTCTTATGGGGAACATACAATGACCTGACTGGCATAGGCGTTTCCGGGATGGGTGACAATATGTGCGCGATGATGTGAGCAGTCGGCAGCCCAAAAAAACAAAAGAAATAAGACAGATAAAATTGTAGACGGAGGGAGAATCAAAGTGAGCTTAGGTCGAATATTGTGTGTGACTCATTACAAAAGAACAAAAGATAGTGAAAAATAGGACAGATTCTAGCAGAGTACTTGGAAATTCGTCAGGATGCGTTATGCGTTTGCCAAAAAATAAAGAAACCAAAACCCCAGAATCTAAAGAAAATAACAACAGAAAAATGGGTCACTTACCTAATTTGCCAAATTTAGAGACCTGTAATATTTGGCTATTTCAAAAACAGAAAAATACCTTAAACAGTAAGTAATCAACTGACAATCCTTACACCCTGTAACACAGGCCTACGACCACTTTACGTTGAACTACCAGTTCCCTTACGATTACCGAAGTTAAGCAACGTCGAGTCTGGTCAGTACCTAGAACATTGAACAATAATAAGCGTACCACCCTAAATAATCACCCTGCTGATAGCTGGAAAATTGAATTGAAATAATTGTATTTCATGGTATTCTCAGCATCTTTCTGTAGAACCTAATTTCTGTCGCCTTATGTTTTACGACCACATCCCGTTGAAACACACGATTTCTGTACGATCAGCGAAGTTAAGCAACGTCTAGCCTGGTCAGTACCTAGATGGGTGGCTACATGGGAATGCCAGCTACTTGTATGTGCGGGTGATGTATTTAATAATGTTTCGGAATTGTTAATCAGAAATCCCAGTTCCAATTCCCGTTGGGTTCGTTGTATTCACTTACGCGCAAATAACTTTGGGGAAGATAGGAATCCAACAGCTATGGATTAATTAATCCATAGGTGCTGGAGAATAAGTGGATTCCCACCTTCCAATTTGTATCACTAAAAAAAAAAAAAAAAAAAAGAAATTCTTAAATTCTAAAAATATTTTCTGGCTTTAAATAACCTGCATGTGTTGATAAGCTGTAGAAAGCGAACCAATCAATTAATTAACAATCCAAAAAGCGGGAAAACGAGTTCCAAGAATGTTTCCAGCAACGGCCCCATTGTTTCACAAAATGCCAGGCTTACAAAAGGGAAATAATCTGAAGGTGACAACTCCCAAAAGTGACCAGGTAAGCAAGCTTTTATTTCAACGGGGCCATTACAGGTAGTAAATTTTTACACTTCGTATATATCTTTTTGCTGAACATTTGCAACCCTTCAGTCTTACCACGTTCTCAGGTGGTAATTATTTGTTTCCAGCAAAGATAACGCAACCCAGCCTCCATTGTGCGCATCTAATATGGTACTGCTCCTACGAATAACAAACTCACTTCCAGGTTCTTCATTGCTACTCATCCTCACCAGTTTTAGAAACCACTAAACCACAACTTTGATCTAAAGAATGCCACACTTATTAAAAGAGAAAGTAACTTAGGGAGGTAGTAATAGATAGCGGCTCGGATTGATGAATCGGAGAGCCGAGTTCGAATTCCAGTCGAATTCTTACATGCTAATATCATTGGGAAAGCAATGAATCGTTTTCTTCTCCCACCAGCTATGGGTAAACTGGATGTCAACTGGTCTGCCGCAGAAAATATGACAACCTACTGCAGGAAAAAATCTGCCTCGTCAGTCATTATCGCCTGACTGAACTTAGATTGAAAATACTCGAGAGTGCCGTATGTGTATAGATTCATCTATTCTCCTCCCAGTGACTTGGTTCTTTAGCTTTGGTTAGCAACCAGTCTGGGAGAAGGAAAATTTCTGATTTTAAATACAAGTAGATGGAATTTGTTTGCGTGGTTGTCTAAGAGAAAGGGCCTTCAATGACAGAAAACCAACCCTTCCTCAGGGCCATAGAACAATTAATTAGACAAACCTTAACAAGAGGCCTCATGTAGCACCAAGCAGATAGGACATGCACTTTGAAATGAGGACGGGGTTGAAAATAAAAATGAATAAATAGATCCTGGAGAATCGATAAAAGAAAATCAGGTGAAGGTGTCAAAGAAGAAAAAGAATTATGCCTAAACAAGGGAATGTAAATTTATTAATGATTGATTGATTTCATTTTTACGACATCAACCCATGCAGGTTATTTAAAGTCAGAAAATATTTTTGAGTTGTGAGAATTTTTGCCGGATGGGGAGGTACAATAAGGATTTAGTGATACAATACTTACTAATTAACCCATAGAGGGGGTGAAGAGGCTGATTAATATCTTTCTCAAGGGTATTTGCCCGTAAGGGAATATAACGAACCCCACGGAAATTGGAACTCGGCAATTCCGAGCCATTACATCAACCACACATCCAAGCTTGCAGAACGTGGTATTCCCAAGCGGTCGCCCATCGAGGTACTGACCAGGCTCGACATAGCTTAACTTCGGTCATCGTAAAGAGGACCGGTGTTTCGATGCGATGTATAAGCCTGTAAATATACCAAGGAACAAGAGCAAATATAAAGCAATGCCCGAGTTTAGAGAAATGTCAACAACCTCGTAATTCCCTGTGAAGCGAAATAAGATGTCACCTCGAGAGAAATTGGCAATCTGACGAGCCCTTTACATGGAAGAAATAATGATGAAGTCGTTTCTCGACCACAATCTACGTGTCTCCGAAATAAACTATTACTCGATAGTGTTCGGAGCAAGGCAACTCGATCACGATCACCCACATCCCAGAAAAGTGCATTCCCTTCTTTTCAGGTACAAGCCATGAACATTACAGTAAACAAACAAAATAAAGTATATATATATATATATATATATATATATATATATATATATATATATATATATATTATGCGCTATCTTCTGTTCGTCTATTATCGGTGTGATTGTTAGACCCTCCTGTGATGGCCGAGAGGCTCAGTATAAAAAAATCCCGATAGAACCCACAGGAAGAAGAAAAGAAGGCTGACACACATGGTTGGTGTGGTTTTGTTTACACTTAACGGCCATACAACCGCTATAGGATTATTTAAAGCCAGACATAGATTTTAGAATTGTGGTTGTTTTGAGTATAGATACATGTTTTATGTGAATCGTCGATAGTTTATAGGTTCGTTGTTTATTTGTTTATTTATTTTTTAATCAGTTATTAGTGATTGGTTGGTTAGTTTGTTTAACGGCATAATAATTCTTTATGGGCCATTTAATGCCGAAATTTAATTTTCTTAGGAGCTTTTATCAAAAATGTATTGCTGGTAATTTTTTTTTATTATGAGAATGTACTGTTGGTATTTTTTTCCTATGAAAATATATTGCTAGTACTTGTTTTACTATCAAAATATATTGATGGTATTTTCATAATGTTTTGATTTTAGTTTTGGAGTTTACTATTTTTCTATAGATGGGACCCTAAGAGGTGCTACCACTCCGGGTCAGTGAAGAACAATGAATAAGAGGTGGTCCCATATTCCTCAAAATCTCCCGACCGTTACGCTTGTTGTCGGGTGTAGTTAGTTGTTAGAGATGCTGGTTTCTAATACAAGTTATTTTGTACTCAGTTTCTGACACGAGTTGGTTATTAGAGTTTATATTGTTATTTTTTGTGGAGATCTTTATGAGGTTTGAAAGTTCTTTTTCTTTTTTTTTTTAGTTTTCAAAATATATTGAACGTTTATGTAGTTTTGTTGGGTGTTTTTATAGTTTTATATTTTGAAAGAAATTTTGATTCAGTTTGGCTTGGTTTGTTTTACCTTAATGTGTTATTTAATGCTAACAAGATTTTTATTGGTGGTAATATTTCTTTTTTTTTTAAATGTATTGCTGATATTTTTTTTGTTCCAAAAATGTATTGCTGGTAATATTTTTCCAGTATTGCTGGTAATAATTTTTTTTTCAAAAATGTATTGTTGGAATTAAAACCTGTTTTTACACGTTTTGACCCCAGTTTTATTTTTTGTGGGGTGGGGGTAACTATTTGGACCAGAGAACACCAATAATTAAGAGGTGGTTTCATACTCTTCAAAACCTCCTTGCTATCGGATGTAGTTTATCTTCTTACCCAGGTCGCGGATGCAGTTTATCGCCTTACTCAGGAGCCGGGTGTAATTTATCGTCTTACCCAGGTCGTGGATGCAGTTTATTGTCTTACCCAGGAGGCGGATGTAGTTTATCATCTTACCCTTGTTGCGGATGCAGTTTATCGTCTTACCCAGGAGCCGGATGTAATTTATCGTCTTACCCAGGTCGCGGATGCAGTTTATTGTCTTACCCAGGAGGCGGATGTAGTTTATCGTCTTACCCAGGACGCAGATGTAGTTTATCGTCATATCCAGGACAGGGTAGAAAATTTGATTTCATGACCATGCTAAGGATATTATTTTGTTTAGTGTTTGAAAAGAGTTCTTTTGCACTGTTTGCTTGATAATATTTTGTTTGGGTTTGATTGAGTTGATGGCAACTTATGAGTATATGTTCGACTGTGAGAGATACTTGACATCTGTTGCATGATGAGGGTGTTTCGATTTTTTAGTAGTAGTGAGTTTGTTAGATGCCTATATCTTATTTGGAGTCGGGATATAACTATTTCCACCTCTCTTATTTTTATGAAACCTAAGAGCCATTTATAATATTTTACAGAAATTATTTTCTTTTATATACCGTGTCCATTGAAATCGTAGGCAATTCACCATTTCCTGTTTTTTTTTTTTGTGCCTGTTTTAAGTAATATTTGACCCTTTACCATTCTTATTTGCCCTTACGCTTATGGCCATATCATATTGAAACACCGGTTCCCGTACGAAGTTAAGCAACGTCGAGCCTGGTCACGAGCTAGATGGGTGACAGCTTGGGAATCTTAGGTGCTGTAAGCTTGGATGTGCGCGTGGTTCAATGGATTCCGATTGTTAATTGGCGACATCAAAATCAAACATATACAAAAATTTAAATATATAGGGAGTATTTTAACAGAGGACGGAAAATCTGACACCAAAATCCGAGTATAGCGAATGGTGTTTTCCTGAAGCTAAGGAAAGTATTACGAAACAGGAAAATATCGTTAGATACAAGAACAGGTTACTGAACTGTTAGGTAATATCGGAAGAACAGACTTAAGGCAACAGAGATGTGGTTCTACAGAAGGAAGCTGAGAATAACATGGACTGAACATGTGAGCAACAACGAAGTATTAGAGAACAGAAACAAAAAGGATATGGACACTTAGCATCAAGAAGAAGTGAGAATTTCTAGGGCTGATAATGAGGAAAGAGGGCTTAGAAAATTCGACACTTACATGACATATTGAATATAACCGGGGTGGAGAAAATCAGCGCAAAACATACCTAACGAGCTTGTGTAAACGGTTGGCGTAAATAGAACAGGGTCATGATTGTCAAAGTTCTCAAGGCAGAAGGCACACAGAAGAAGAATGCTAACAGTGGCATTACCATTATTATTATAATTATTCTCTGAGAATCGAAAAAGTAGAGAGTTCACCATATTAGCATCAAGAGATAATATTCTTTGTGAAATGATTCAGTTATTCGTTGGAAATCAAATATCTCAACATTAAGGATTAAATAGTGACACAGTATCGATGATTAAGGGGAGGACATTTCATCACCGCCGATTCACTACTGGCCAACCGGTGTTGATTGTCATCGTGTACCCATCTCTTAAAACGGCCATGCAATTTTGAAAGATTGGCTGTTATAACAGCCTATTTGGTTGATTGGTGTTTAATTTTCAAATTTTTCATCACACCGAAAATTGAAATTCTTAGTCAAAGAAAAATTTGTACACGAAAGTCATTTATTTGTACTTGATAAGTTTAGTAAAATAGACAGTAACATAAAATTTTGGCGTTGTGACTAAGACTCTAGGTGCAATGCAAGGAATCATACGAATTTTGGAGCAGTTGTCAAGGAAGACCTTTAATAAATTTCTTTTATTTGGTTTCAAAAAAGTTATGTTTTAAAAATGATCCTTAATAAATTACTTTTATTTGGTTTTAAAAAGTTTTGTTAAAAAAATGATACTTACTAAATTACTCTTATTCGGTTTTAAAAGCTATGTTTTAAAAATGATCCTAAATTACTTTTATTTGTTTTTAAAAAGTCGACGAAAAAATTTCATAGTTTGCATGTCGTTGAGTCGGCGGCGTTGAGCTGACAGTGATGAGTCGGCCTGCACCAATCGATCATTTCATTTATTTATGAAGACATTTTCCCCAGTAAGCTGAAGATCATACCATATTTTCTCTTTTTTCTGATCAAATGTTTGTCACACCATTGTAGATTTGCAGTCATGGCATCAATGAATAATTCATCACTTCCGTTTTTTTTTTTTTTATCATCTGATCTGATCAACACATCGTCTGGCTTTGTCGGGTGATATCATTAACAATCAGTTACTCTAGCATTTTGTATCTCCGATTAATACTTTTTCTTTAGCAATTATAAATTTATTAGTATAAGCTTCTCACCTTGGCTTAATAATAATGGTAATATTAGGTGCTACTTATATGGAAGCATACGGCATTCATTGACCGAGCAGCCAATACGAGTCTCTGTTGAGATTTTGTATAAAAACAAATTTTAAATTGAATAAAAGATTTCTCGTGTCCAGTAACTGTTATCTCTCTTTCGATTACTGATAAGGTTTCCTTCCTAAGTTTTTGTTTGAAGTAGTGTGGTCATGCCGTTATTTTCTCCACGAGTTACATGTCCTATGATTTTAGTAGTTGCTGCTGTTGAAACCCTTCAATCGATGGGGTTTCTTTGCATGTGATTCTGTCGAACCAGTCTACATGGTTTGAAGAAGGATAGTCCTGGCTAAGACTTACATGCTTTATTTAATCATTTTAACCATTGATCTGGGGAAGCGACTGCAGACAATTGACAGTTTAGATATTTCTGAGCGAGTTTTGCGCCATGTCTGACATTCATATTCAAGTCTCGATCTGACGAAGTGTTATGGTCCGGTTCCTTGTACCACGGTGATAGTTCAAGGTAGAACCAATAAAGAAGAACTCGAATACGGATATGGAATAACACAGATATATTACAAACAGAAATATATACAGTGAAGTAGAAAGTGTTAGTACGAACAATCAGGTTTAGTAGTAATTGTCTGAACGCAACTGTTACGGACTGCCTCTGACTCGACTGACTGACTCGCTCACTCTGACTGACTGACTGACTGACGGACTTCACTCCAGACTTCAGACTGAACAGTATTTAGTCACCCCCCAACGAGGGCATCATGTGGCACAAGGCCGGTTTAACGTGGGATCTCCGAGCCCGTGGGATCTCCGAGCCCGTGGGCTCGGCCAAAAAATGCCCTTTGAACCCGTATAAACGGGTTTAGGGTTGGTTTACCTCCCCGAAAGAGATTCCGCCCTCGGCGTAGCCTCTTTCAGGTTCCTCCCCTCCCGAAGGAAGACAGTTCAACCGATCAGCCAGTCAGCCGG